GTAGAAAATAATTTCCAATCCAGCGCTCTTGCTACTGTGAATGAACTTTTTCTCACTCAAATTGTCAGTTTGGAAGGGAAGGATGGAGTACTAAGTCAAAATTGAATGTGGGATGGTGGGAATGCCAAGTGGATTCTTAAACAAGTGATCATATCCAGATTCCACAACAAGAAGTGACTTTGCATTGCCATTAGGGTAATTCGAGATTGAGGGGTAATTGAGATAGGGGTACATATAGGTGCTGCATATCCTCAAACTGAGGATATGCATCAAAAAAATGTATATTCTGAAAGCTCGAATGTCACTGATTATTTTGGTAACCTCATCAACTTTGACGTACTAACACTGAGGAAGTTATCGATGATTTTGATTGTGAGTGGTAGATAGTATTGCGGAAAGGGGTTGAGCTGGCATAGACATTCTCGTTGGTGTCAGTAGAGTGTAAAAATTGGGTTTTCTGAAAGCCCAATCATGACTGAAAAGAATAGTACATTTACTTTGAGATTTGGACAAAATTTGAAAAATTTATAAACAATTTATGTTTTTGTATACAACATGACATATAAGGGTGTACCAAAACAACATATGTCTTTATGACATTTTTCAATGTTGTAAAGATTTCGGATTAAGTCTAATATTTTCATCAGTGAGACCTAAATAATGGTACACCTACCTTGAGACTTGGACCACTTCCAAAACTCTTATAAAGAATGTGAGGTTTTGTATACAACCCCCCATATAAGGGTGGACCAAAACCACGTATATCTTTATAGCATTTTTGAATCCTGTGCAATATTCAAATCAAGTGTATTTTTGTAGTCAGGTATGTTGGGGCATTCAGAAATGCTACTTTAAGACACTACTGCTACTCAAATACAATGTTGTTAAATTGTGAATTCTTATGGGTACACGTGCATATGACTTGTTGTATACAAGAACCTGAAAGGCTTATACCATTTTGGAATCTTGTGCAATTTTCAAAGCAAGTGTATTTTTGTAGTCAGTTATGTTGGGGCATTCAGAAATAATACTTTAAGACACTACTACAACTCCAATACAATGTTGGTAAATTGTGATTTTTGATGGGTACACGCGCATATGACTTGTTGTATACAAGAACCTGAAAGGCTTATAACTTTTTGGAATCTTGTGCAATTTTCAAAGTAAGTGTATTTTTGTAGTCAGTTATGTTGGGACATTCAGAAATAATACTTTAAGACCCTACTACAACCCAAATACAATGTTGGTAAATTGTGATTTTTGATGGGTACACGCGCATATGACTTGTTGTATACAAGAACCTGAAAGGCTTATAACTTTTTGGAATCTTGTGCAATTTTCAAAGTAAGTGTATTTTTGTAGTCAGTGATGTTGGGGCATTCAGAAATAATACTTTAAGACACTACTACAACCCAAATACAATGTTGGTAAATTGTGATATTTTATGGGTACACGCGCATATGACTGGTTGTATACAAAGACCTAAAAGTCTTATAACCTTTGGTAATCTTGTTCAATTTTCAAAGTAAGTGTATTTTTTTGGTCAGTAATGTTGGGGCATTCAGATATGGTACTTTAAGACACTACTACTACTCAAATACAATGTTGTTAAATTGTGATTTCTTATGGGTACACGTGCATATGACTTGTTGTATACAAAAACCTGAAAGTCTTATAACTTTTTGGAATCTTGTTCAATTTTCAAATCAAATGCATTTTTGTAGTCAGTGATGTTGGGGCATTCAGAAATAATACTTTGAGACTATGCCCACCCACAAATAACTTCAACAAGTGTGAATAATTTCTGGGTATACCCTTATATGTCATGTTGAATACAAAAACATGATTTGTTTATAAATTTTCCAAATGTTTTCCAAATCTCAAAGTAAGTGTACCATTGTTGTCACTCATGTTTGGCCTATCAGCCAACCCAATTTTTGGACTCTACTGACACCAACCAGAATGTCTATGCCAGCTCAACCCCTTCCCGCAATACTATTTACCACTCACAATCAAAATCATCAATAACTTCCTCAGTGTTAGTACGTCAAAGTTGGTGAGGTTACCAAAATAATCAGTGTCATTCGAGCTTTCAGAATATACATTTCTTTGATGCATATCCTCAGTTTGAGGATATGCAGCACCTATATGTACCCCTATCTCAATTACCCCTCAATCTCGAATTACCCTAATGGCAATGCAAAGTCACTTCTCGTTGTGGAATCTGGATATGATCACTTGTTTAAGAATCCACTTGGCATTCCTCAACATCAATAAAAAGGTGGATCACTCCCCTTCTTCATGTTTCATTCTCAATATCACAGTTCAAAAAGGTAAACGGTTCTTTTTGACCCTTGTTCCACTGAGAAATGCTCCTCGTGTCACATGGGGTATGGCACTTGTATGTACATACCCCACACAGAGCTACACCCACAATTTCAGTCATCAGGGCCATTATATCAGCTTGAAGTGAGGTCAACATAATGCCTTAGTTCAATTTCTGTCCCCTTTTCGTGACAGAGGTTGAGGTTTGAGGTTTAAGTGTCACCTGCAATCAACTGTGATTCACATGTATGTACACGGCAACCCTCTGTGATATGTGTACAAAATAACATATCACACATGTCACGTCCCTGTTTCTTCCATGCGACTGAACAAGAAAGTCAGGTTTCTCCATTTCTCTTGTCAGTCCAATCTATTTTTGCCCTCAAACGAGGCCCACGTTCCAAACATCACTTCACCTCACCATACTCCCGAACTTCATTTTAGGATCTGCCTTTTTAATCACATACAATTGAGTTCGCGATTGCAGGTAAGCTATCGTTTTCTACAACTCATACCAATTTTCAAATGTGGATGCTAATTGGATTTTGTTATTTAGTCCGCTAATTAAAGTAACTAGGTGCCAATCTATCGAGGCTCGACACCGATTACATCAGATATCGAAAGTCTCTGCAGGAATTCAATTAGGTTAATCGAATGAACAGACCCCAAAGGCTCTCTATTTATCGTGACAGTCATTTTTTTCCATAACTTCCATCGATATACCATTGATATTACGAGCATATTCAAATACTACGCCTCTTATCGAAATGTCCAAATGCGACTGACTGGTTTCAATTTTGGTCTCACTTCATCTAGGTCACTTGGTTTCATCGTTGGCCGTGGAACCCTCCAGTGTGCAAGCTTATTGAAGATCTTCAAACGTGCCAGCAGGTATTCTATTATTTACTAATTCTGGAAAACCAATACCAAAACTCATGTGTCCTTGTTCGCTTTGTCAGTTGTTTTATCAGTTTGTTATCCTCTGGTGAGTTGAAATCGGTCAGTACTTCATTATGAAGGCTTTATCAGATACATGGGCCGAGAAGCCAGTCTAAAGAGGAGTGTGGCGTGAAAGTGGTGGTGTGCATGGCATAGATAGCCTTCGTACACCTTGAAATACGTGCCCCACCTACTTCACAAAACTCTCTTCTCGAACGCTGGCTCTCACCCTTGTGGAACCTGACATGTATCAATGTTTGTCCCAGTGGATCTAGGTTACGAAACCTCCAGTGTGAAGATCTTCGCGCGTGCTAGTAGGTATTTGTTTATTTACTACTTCTGATAAACCAATCCCTAAACTGATATGAACTTGTTTGCTTTTTCAGTCGTTTGATCAGTTTTGAAATCGGTCAGTACTTCATTATGAAGGCTTTATCAGATACTTGGGCCGAGAAGCCAGTCTAAAGAGGAGTGTGGCGTGAAAGTGGTGGTGTGCATGGCATAGATAGCCTTCGTACACCTTGAAATACGTGCCCCACCTACTTCACAAAACTCTCTTCTTGAAAGCTGGCTCTCACCTTTTGTTCTTTACGAAGTCCTTGGAGTAAGTCAAGAGCTAAGTGGTCTTCATGGAACCACAGGGATATGCCGACCGATATTACTCCTGGGTGGACTGAACACTTACGAGGAAAATATCCAGAAAAAAAGTAAGGTACTAATCCAAATCATTCGATTCTTTAATGACTACTGAGCAACCTATGTGTTTCAAAGTATTGAGCCCGTAGGGAATCCTATGCCTGGAGTTAGATATCTGTCAGACTGTCTGAAACCGATTGATTCTAAAAGGCAGAAGGGTTATAATGACGATGATGTAAGTCAGATATACAGTTTGTTCGAAAGAACCCAGCCTGTCAAGCTAATGATGTACTACCTGTAGCTTCCCCCTCCCTTCAAATGTCCCAAATCCTTTGTGGAAGTACCACACGAGTTACTGGGCACCGATGGATTTCCTCAAAGCGAGCATTGGCTTAACCCCTTGTGCCAACCATTTGGCTCCGGGAAGATGGCCCAAGAATATAAGAAAGCAAAGATAGCGAAGTAAGAATGAACAAAATGACCTGTTTTGTAGTCTTTCAAATTTGTCAAGATGACTGATTGTCTTTGTACAGGGAAGCGGTTGCAAAGGCAGAGAAGGAAAAGGTAGAGACAGAACTACATAGCGTACTGGGGAAAGGGGATATAGGGTAAGCTCTTCAATCAACTTTTGTTTAGAGTATTCTCATTCATCGCAAGGTATGCTTGTTTGGATAAATTTACTCATTATCACTTTATACTATACTAGGGACCTCGAAGGAAAGCCAGAATTGGGAGTAACAGACCGACTGGATAATGGAAAAACACGGTAAGGGTTTTTTCATAAGGTAGCAATATTGTGTATATAATTTCAATAACTGAACTTCTTATGACCCGAAAAGGCAAAGAGCTCCAGCTTCCTTACCATCTCTGTATGACCTAGAGGTGGGAAGAGAGGCTAGTATTGTACCAGTTCCCGGTAAGGTGCGTTGCGCGCGAAAACCGTAAGTTCAATCAGGACACTTATGCTCCCTAACCACTCTAACACCACTGACTTTTCTTTATTTGCATGATGTCAGACGCCATCTCAAACGAGCCACCAAAGCAACTCATGAACGCCGAACTGACCTCTCAGCTGTCGGTGAAAACAATAAGGATGGGAAATCATTCAAACGGGAGTTTCGAAGGTTTGATGATCCTGTCTTACCAATCCATGACTATGAGAGGACTATGGATATAGTATCCAATTTGTACTACATATATGATCGCGGTCATGGCCAGTTTGTGGATAGGAAATCTCAAAAATTGATTTGTACCTATCAATTTGAGGACCTTGAGACGATGAAGCCTGAAATACGACAGGAACATCAGCAAGATGTGGAGACTGTCATGATGGCGACGCAGTTATTCCAGCGTATGCCAACTCCCCGAGCTTCTGGAGCAAAAACATCAAAATCCATCATTCTAGAGAAGACTTCAACTTCCAACGATAAACCCAACTCGCCAGTTGAGCCTTCAGTTGAACATGTACATAACCATGAATCGCCGGTGAAAGAACGATTAGTCAACCCTGTACCTAACAACGAATCAACCCTTAAAGAAGTGGCTACATGCGACCCGATCTCACCGATCTCAAGAACTCCAAATGTGTACGAGGTACCAATTGAAATAGCCGACTTACTCTCAGCTTACCGGACTTATTTGAATGATGGTGAAGACTCACCACTTACCTCACTTCCTTCATCTGATACGGAGGACGACAACCCTATGAATGGAGGCCTACCTATTAAATCACTTAAACATGAATTAGAGCTTATCGTGACAAATACTAGACCTTTGAACGATGGACTTTCATCTCCTCTGACATCACTGGGAAACTCTGATATTGATGATTCTCCTCCACCTATTACCAAGGCTGCGATAGAAGAACCATCTAAAAAGAGCAAGCGGCAGGTAACTACCAATGGGGCGCTGATTCAAGGGAAAATGTACTGTTTTGGATGTCGTGCAGGGTTTAAACGCGATGTACTCTATTCTCCTTACATCCCATGTGATAGTGCATCTCATTTGCTATACAAAGTATTTATTAGTGAACTTCCGATATATGGAGAGCATGCCGGGGCACGATACGAGACTTTCGCGGACAACGCTTTCTCCACCGCCAGAAGCCAGCTCAAAACTCTTAGAGTTCCTTCAATGACTGCTGTGTCCAAGGATCAACCTCGAGGCCCTAAAGACTTTGCAGGGAACTTCGCCTTCACCTTTCATAATTTTTTCAACAACCCTCATACCGATAATGATAAGGGGAAAGTTTATTGTGTTTGGTATCCGATGGACTCAGTGAGTCGAAAAATTGTTACTACTGCTGAAGGTTTTTGGCTAGAAGGAGGGTTCTTCCTGTTTCCAGAGTACAGAATCGCCTTCAACTTTGGGGCAAAATATGTAGTACAAATATCTTGGAGTGGGAAGAGTACCTTCCACCAGACTCTTCCTTCCTTGGAAAAAGAGATCGTACGGCAAGATGGCACAAAGATACACTACACGCGATTGGGATGCTCATCCCAAATTACCTCTAGCATAGCACGGGCAGCAGCAAACTTTGGAACGAGGAAACAATTCAACTTTCGCTCCAATTGTGAGCGTAAAATATATGATTGTAATGACATCTTGGAAGGCAAAGGGAAGGTGTGGAAGAAAGAGTGAGAAGAGTGAGAGGTATTAGCTGGATCTTTTCATCTATTGTTCCTGCTACATCCTTGATCAAAGTATGTCCTTTGAATCATTTGGTCTATTTGAAATCGAAAAAATCCAACTTTTTCTTTGAATCATTTTTGGTCTTTGTGAAATCGAAAGAATCCAACTCCTTGTAGGCTCCCACCCTCTCCTATTCATGACGAATCAAGAACATGTTGGTTGAAACTTTTAATCGCTCTAACTACATATTGATCCAATTGTGTGCTTTGAATTGTTTTTCTTGTTTATTTTTCAAAGTTTTTCTTGGTTATTTTTCAAAACAATTCAATTACGTTAGATACAATGTGTTTTTTCTTCTTCTTTGATGTTTTCTAACTTTGGAAATCGAATACTTGTTCTTTGGTCGCTTCTTCATGAAGACATTGTTGAGATGAGCAATCGAAAACCTGATAATTCCGCTTCTGAGAAGTCGAATGGAATTGGAGGGAAAGAAAGGCCTTGGTATGTCCATGATCAAACTAAAGGGAGGTATTGTTCCAGATAATGAGCTCTCATAGAGATTTGTTTCTTTTCAATTTGGACTCTCACACTTGAAAAGAGATCTATCTCTTAGAATGCGATTGAGAGGCATATCTATCATATGATTGGCACTGTGGGACGTTTTTTCTCTCTTCAAGACAATACAATAATAGATTGCATTATGAACATGTGTAAAACTTGAATCAGTGTAAAAGTTGAATATTAAAAAAAACAGAATAAAGAAACAAATTCATGAGGCAACATGTTTATTGACGATTTAAATGTTTGCTACACTTCTAATGCAGGGAGTGGTGAACTAGGAATCAAGCTATTTAATACTTCTTGATTCTCTTTTTGGTTGTCTTGTATGTTGTCCAAATTGGAATCAAGCGAGTCTGGACTTGCATTGTTTTTGGGTGAGTGTTCAACATGACTATTTGCAGGGGGGGCTGAGATTTGTTTCTTTCTTTTCTTTGATGGTTTATCGACTGTAACAATAGTGTATTTCTTTGATTTGATATCCTCAAGCCATAGTTTGACTTCATTGTTTGTCAAAGAGCTGGGGCCTTTCTCCAGCATCAGATCGGAGACTTGGCTATCGTCCGCACGCTTGAAGGTGAGGTATACTTCACCACGAAATTCTTTCTTCTTGAAAGCTTCTTGCAAGTTGGAAATTTTGGGATGCGCATCACCCTTCCCTGTATAGCCTCCACGTAGGTAGGGTGCTTTATTAATATTGCAATCAGCTAAATCTGGAAACTTGAGTCGAGAGAAATGGAGGTCATGAGGTACTTACCGATCAGATTGTTGAGCTCAAGAGCAAGGTCAGCTCGTAATCGTGATTGACGTGCAGCTGCCTCGGATATCGGCTTGGGTTCGTTTTTTTTCTGGCAAAGGTGCTCTGGAGCCTTGGTTGCTTCAAAAGTGAAACATTCCAAGAGATGTGTCTTTTGCTGCATCCGGACCCACCTTGGAGAAGAGCTGTACTCCTCCTGGAAAAGCGCTCGCTTAATAGGTAATCCAGGAGTCCAACATCCTAGCAAAAGGTGGAAATGCAGGTTGAAGTGGTTTTTCAGGAGGTGGAGCTGTATTGTCACGCGAGGGATGTGAGTCCGCCGGTAACCAGAAAAGTCTCAGGGAAAGAAATGAACTAACCTGATGAACTACTTTACTAATTTCGTGCAATCAAAGCTTTTCCAAAGTTTGGTTTTTTGATTTTCCACGATGCCTCCAGAGACGTCCTTCATGTACGTCAAGTGATACTTTGCGAAGGTTAACCAGGCGCTTGAATATTGGCACGTATTGTTCTAGCTCATCCTTGCTGAGGGGAGTAAGCCCTGTTTGAGCTGGTATACTTGAAGTCGCCGTGTTAGGTACTTCTTCATCGAGCGAAGGGGCTGCAGGGATCCCTAGTGGAGTTTGGGTGAGGGCATAGGCCTCGCTAGTCGCTATACACAAAGGTTCGAAGAGCCTCGGGGTGAAAACAGCTTGTTCGTCTTTGTTGTATGTAGACCAAGTAGTACCAACTGTGGTGTTCCGTTCTGCAAATCCGTCGGATACAGCTTTGCCTGGCACTGACGATGGCAAATGGAAAGGATTGGTCAGTGAGTGTAAATCAATTACCGCAAAATGAGATAAATAAAAAGTGTACTGGTGGTTTTGGTGGCTGCGAGACTATAAGTCTGGTAGTTGGTATACATGTTGGGCTCGCGAGACAAGGGTCCTTCCAACCTGTCAATGGAAGGAAAGCATCATAAATACATGTTTGGAGCTTGTAGAAGGTATTTGATGTTGGAACTTACAAAACTTCATCCATCACCTTGCGGCTACATTTTAAAGCTATGCAGAGCATAGTTTTATGCAGGTTGTATTGGTTTTGGAGGCACTGAGCTTCAAACACTCCTTTCGCCGATGGCCGATTGGTTTTGGGGACACCGAGGTTTGCAAGTCTTTCGTCAGCGTAGACTTGTCCCCATTGAAGACCTAGCTGCCGATAATTTGACAAGTTGGGGGTTATGTCGTCGGGGTTGTTTGATTGAGGCTGATTGTCGTGTTCGTGATCGTTATCGGCCTCGTCTTCGTCCGCGAGGCGAGGTCGCTTGTTGTTACGTCTAGGTTGAGATGCAGAGGATGCAGAGGGACCGATCCGTGCTTTGGGAACTCGAGGTCGGCGTGTCTTGGTAGTTCGACGTTGGGTGGTGGTATGGCTGTGTTCTGAATCATCCGATTCGGTGGATGATGCAGGCGGAAGTGGATTTCTAGGATTTCCTGATCGCAACATAGCTGAGTAAGTCCAGCAGTGATTGGAATTTGAGATGTGAGGCTTGATGGGTGTCGAGAGGATGTTGAGAGGCTGATTGAGCCGTATGTGGGAAGAAGTCGAGTGAGTTGGCAATGGGGTGGTTTGGTTAGTAGGTAGGTTTTGTTGGAGGAAGGGGTCGTCAGAATGTATGTTAGGGTTGTTTTGTTGTATGGTGGTTGGGGATAGATGTGGTCGTGATATATGGGTATCAGGTAGTGAGAGTTTCACCAGATTGTAAGCTGGGTTGTATGGTAGTGAAATGGGAGATGCGTTCGTGATACTGAATGTCATGCGTGAGTTGGGTAGTATGCTAGTGAGTTGAGGTGGTGTGCTCGTGAATTTGCTTGTTAGGTAGTGAAATGGGAAGGTGTAGGCGTGAGATCATCTATTAGGAAGTAAGATGAAATATCACGCCCGTTACTCCTGATGTTGAGTCGTGAGATTGAGCATTGTACTCGTGATTTTGCAATGTAGTAGTGATATTTGATGGTGTAGTCGTGAGTGTTCTTGTATAGTAGTGAGATGTTGTGATATACTCGTGAAAGGGTGCTCAACGGGTACAAGCCCCCCCCCTTAAGGAATGGGGACTTGTAATTATTTTGAGGTTACCCAAGAATCATCTATGTATCTAGGAAATTCTACATGCTTGTAAGCGGACTACATTGGATGATACAGTTAGGTTTATCATCCAATACACTTGGTAGGTTTAAGTACACACAGGTGGCTTCTTCTTGAACTTTCAGCATACCAACCCCCCCACCCAGTTCTCCCCCTTTTGGCACTATGGATCCTTTCGATCTGATCATACGCCAATCTCTCTGATTCACAGTCCAACAAACAGTGGACGTATCAAATTCAATTCAAACTTTCATCTCCTTCTCTCCAGTCGTCAGGATAATCCAATATCACAATTCAAAAACCTCTGTTTTGATCTTATTCGATCAATTAATCACTTACGATTTAGGGCGTTCTCTCTCCAGATTCACCTCTTTCTCTCCAGTTGTCAGGATAACTCGATCTCACCATTCCAAAACAATTGGTACGATCTTATTCAATCAATTAATCACTTACAATCTAGGGCGTTCTCTCTCCAGATTCAACTCTTTCTCTCCAGTTGTCAGGATAACTCGATTTCACCATTCCAAAACAATTGGTACAATCTTATTCAATCAATTAATCACTTACAATCTAGGGCGTTCTCTTCCCAGATTCATATAATCATGGGTCAAACTATCGTGGGGGTTGGGGGAACCTTGGACATGACTAAAAAGGGTAACGCATCTCCCCACCGTGTTTTCAAATCTTGACGACAATTCCGT